TTAGAGTAGTTAATTAAAGGCCTTCCTTAGCTGTTAGGACCCCTTCCTGCTGTAACTGCTTTCTTTTATGCAATTTACGTTGCGTGGAGGCCTTATTTGCTGCTTGAAGCCCAGTGATTTCCTTTTAAGCCAACACTAGCTTGTGCGCTACTATAGCTGCGCCTTTGGCGAGCTTTTTAAAGGCCTTAACTATTAAAGTTAGTAAGCTACTTGCATGCCTTTAAATCCTCTCTCAAATTAGCGTTAATTGCGACCCTATTTGCAGGGTATTGCTAGGGGTTTGGGACTGCTAGGGAGCATCTTCTATAGTAGGTAATAGTAGGGTATGTAGGCGGACATTAAGACCTATTATAACCTATTCTAGCTTAAAGGGAACTAGTCTAGCGCCTTAGAAGCCTCCTTAGATATTGCTAGGAGTAAATAACTCCTTGTAGGCGCCTATAAAGCATAGCAGGAACTCAGTTTTAGTAATATGCGTGATTCTGTTGCGCATGAGATCCTTAGCTTAGCACCTATACGCCTTCTTTAAAGGGGCAAAACAACCTACATCTAGTGGCTGCAAGAGGTGTGATAAGTGTGGAGGCATACATAGTGTGATAATGTTTGCTTCCTTGCAGTATTGTTAGAAGTCTAGGGAGTTGTGGCTCTCATAGCTGTTAATAAGGAGCAGCTGGTACACTCCTTGGGTGCGTGTCTTTGTATGGGCATTAAAGTGCTTTAACTAGTTAAGACTAAGCTAGTTAGTGGTCTATCTGTTCTTAGAGACTCTAATAACCCAGTTGTGGGGCAGATTGTCCTCTTTGTACTAGGCAGAGAGGTAGTTGCGGCCTTTGAAGATGATGAAGGGCGGAATGGCCCATCCTGTGCCATTAATGCCCTGTATGACTGTTGTCCACTCCTGGTTGCCCTGCTGCACTGCCTTTGGCTGTCCGCGACGCTCTGAGCCTGTAACAACTGCTCCTGTTGATATCTGGCCCATCATGAAGCCTGTCTTATTGAAGTTGTACGTGTCATCATCCTGGATGCTATACTTGGCTTTAGTATTCTCCACCAGGCGGAACTAGCCCCTAATAACCTTAGGGTCCTCACACAGGGCTCTCTTGTAGTTGTACTTGCGATTGAACTTAACTTAGAGGTTAGGGCGGCGCTTGACGAACGTATTAGGCTAGTTTATGCCAACATGGGCTATATTACGCTCAGCGCGCAAAGAATTGGCCATATCAGCTACAGCAGCCAATCGAGGGGCAAATCCTCTGGCATCCAGCTCAAGTATGTACTCAGCAATCACATCCTCCTCAGTCTGATCCATATTCTGTGATTTTGGCGTGCAATTGGCTCGTGCAGTGCGTCCTGCGTATCGATCGCGTAGCGTGTTGTAAGGCGCGTTATATATAGCTGCAGCGCGTCGCAGAGTGAGCGTCGCGTCTTGTTTAACTGCCTGAAGCGCAAGCTGTATTGCAGCTTCTTTAAAGGGCTTAGATTTGTGTTGTTGTTGAGGCATTGCGTTGTGAAGTGGAATGTTGGTGTGGTCTTGGCAGTATGAACGACTCACCCGTATGAACGACTCACCCGTGGAGTACGTTATTAAATAACATTATAACCTGTTTTATCAGTGAGCGCCCCACCTCAGTGAGCGCCCCACGAACACCAGCGAGGCGTACGCGCAGCGACGTAGCTTAGCACCACAACACAAATTTTGTACTCTTGCAACAGTATAGTACTATTTAGAAGCGTTGCTGTTATTTATATCCTTAATTTCTACCTTGCAGGTGCAAGAGTTGTGCCTAATCTCACTGCAACAGCTACAGCGTCGCCCTGCGCGCACCCTCTTTGCTAGCTCCTTACCCTCCTTACATCTACTACCCTCCCTTTTAGTAATTAAGTCTAATACCTTGCTAACTATTAATGTCTCCTCTGCCTATATGTAGTGTCTCTTGCAACTTTTATACTTTATTACTACTTTAGTAGCAGTATTAAGGCGCACTATCTCTGCGCGCATTAACACTATCTTATAAGCTATCTACTGCGCGCCTTTTATTAGCTGCTGCACCTGCTTATTAAGTAAACTTGCTAGAGACCCTTAATAGATTTTTATCCTATTTTAAACTAGTGTTAATTGCGCCTCTATTTCTTTAGCGTTGTGTGGTGTTTTTGCCTCCTAAGTGGTGTTAACTTGCTGTGGTGGAGTTTGCGTATGCAGCTGCACATCCAGCTTTAATAACACAGCCTGTAGATTATATAGAGACAATCTAGCGCCTTAAAACCCTACACAAGCATTCTCTCTTATAAACGCCTTCTTAAAAGCTACTTTAAAGGCTAGTAAGAAGGTCTGTTTACTAATATAGTTAATATAATTATGTGCTAAGGCTAAGATCTAATTACTGTACGCGCGCTTTAATAGTAAGAAACAGGCAATGTTAAGTAGCTGCAGGAGGTGCAATAAGTGTGGAGGCATATAGAGGGCAATAATGTTCTTCTCCTTGCAGCAATCCTAGAAATCTATTAAGCAATAACGTAAACCCCCAGCACCCAGGCCAACCCAGCACCTGGGCCATTTCTTGCCAAGACCACAACTATTAATATTAACACATAATGCCTTACTAACAAGATACACAATTATCTAAACAAGAGGGTAGAATTAATCTTGCCCTTTCTACTTTCTAATTATATAAATTTAAAAGCCTCTAAAGCGCTGCTTAGGCATTTAATGTACTGTGTACAACCTTAAGTGCTAGGTATAGAGGCAGACTCTATATTAATAATAGACATAATGCACAACATAAGCTTACGCGCACTAAAGAGCAAACAATTGTACAATACATTCTTGACCTTAATTCGCGAGGATTCGCGCCCCGGCTGTGCGAGGTGGCAGATATGGCTGACAAACTGTTAGGTGTACGCGGTGGGCAGCCTGTTGGCAAGCACTAGGCTGAGCGCTTCGTGACGCGTTCAGCTACGCTCAAGATGGCCTTTAATCAAGCTAAAGATAGGCAGAGGATGCTGCAGGAGGATCTAGAGACAATTAGCGCGTGGTTTAAGCTAGTAGAGGACACAAAAGCTAAATACAGCGTACACAACTATAACATGCACAACTTTAATAAGACTAGCTTCTAGATAGGTGTTATTAGCTTAATAAAGGTTGTTACAGGTGTAGAGAGACGTAATTAACCTTAGCTCGTTCAGCTAGGTGATTGTGAGTGGGTAACAGTTATCTAGAGCGTCTGTGCTGCTAGATCTTGTACCCTGCCTTTTATTATCTACAAAGGACGCGTTCACATCTCTGCCTGGTACAAGGAGGCAGATATACCACGCAATTGGAAGCTCTCCATCTCCAAGAGCGGCTGGACGAACAACGCGCTCGGCCTTGAGTGGCTGAAGCACTTCGACGCGCATACAAAGGCGAGCCAGGTGGGGGCATACAGGCTGCTCATTTTGGACAGCCATAAGAGCTACCTTAACTAGGATTTTAAGGACTACTGCCTTAAAAATATAATCCTTACCCTCTACATACTACCTTACTTATTGCACATCCTCTAGCTGCTTAATATAGTCTGCTTCTTACTATTAAAGCACAAGTACTCTTAGCACGTACAAGACTTAGTATGTAAGCATGTCTTCTATATTAATAAAGAAGGCTTCCTCCCTGCCTTTAAGGATATATTTTTTAACATATTTATAGTAGAGAACTATTATAAGGCCTTTAAGGTAGCAGGGCTAGTCCCTCTTAACGCGCAGGTTGTGTTAGATTACCTTAAAGTGCGCCTGCGTACCCTGCTAGAACCCCTCCTCCTAGAGACACTGTGGCAGTTAAAGACTCTAAGCAATACCTACAAGTTTAGATCTTAGTTAAAGCTTGTACGCAAGTCTTTTACTTAGTCACCTATTACTGCGTAAGTAGGCTTCTCTTAGCTTGTTAGAGGCGGCGAGCTTATGCTGCATTAGAACGCGCTTTAAGTAGCCTGGATTACTGAGCTTAAAGAGCAATTAGCAGTAATAACTAAGTAGAAATTGCGCAAAAGGAAGCAGATCTAGCAAGGTGGTACTATAGAGTATAGTGAGGCAGCAGCTCAGGTGGCTGCAGAGGCCTCTGTAGCCGCTAAGTGGTTAAAGAAGGCTTATAGTAGTAGTAATTAAGAACAAGCTTAACTAGCTCTATAGCGCTGTAGAAACTATAGAGGGACTAGACACAACGCGCGAACGTGTAAAAAAGATATAGAGGCATATTCTAAATTAGATACAAGCACAGTGTACGCAGGCTCTATGTTAAATAGCAATGAAATTGAAGAGTTGTAACGTGAGTTGGTACTGCCAAGCTTTTTTGGCCCGGGTGCTGGGTTGGCCCGGGTGCTGGGGGTTTACGTTAGCTCTTGTGGCCATTAATAATTAGCAGCCTATACACTCCTATAGGCCTTACATGCATATTAAAGTAATTAAGCTAGGCAAGCGCTAGATTGTTGTTTATCTAGCCTGTTAGGCTTACTTAAATAACCTAATTGCATAGGAGGTCCTTAGTAAACTAGTTAGAGATAAGAACCTTGCTAGTAAAGATAAGGAAGGGTAGGATAACACGCCCTGTTGTGCTAATGCCCTGTATTAACATAGTCTACTTGCAATTACTAGGCTAAAGCTTCTTTGCTTTCTTAGGTTTCTCTATACCTGTTATAACAAGTTGTGAAGATATCTTGCCTATTAGGAAGCTAGACTTATTAAAGTTGTACATGTTATTGTCCACAATACTATACTTTGCCTTTATATTCTAAACTAGTGTAAACTAGGGCTTAATAATTGCTAGGTCTTTGCAGAGAGCTTGCTAGTAATTGTATAGACAAGTCTAGCGCGTGCGCAGCTCAGGTGTACGCTTAATAAACCTGTCAACCTAGCATTTACCAACAGGCTTACTGCCGCAGTCGCGCAGCAGTCTATCAGCCATATCTTGTACGTGTAGCTTTGAGGGTAGTACTCTATGTAGGTTCTTGTTAAGTATATGCTACAGAATTACCTCCTCTTCTAGCTTTGTTAGGCGCTTTAATCTAGGCTTGCAGTCGCGTCTAGAGGGCTTCCTGTTATATTATTGTTATATTGTCCTATAAGGAACACTGTAGACTGCCTCAGCATATTGCAGGCTTGTAATCTAGTCGCATTTAATGTTAGAGAGGGCAAGCTGCACGTTAGCTTCAGTATAGGGCTTGTAAGGTTGTGGTTGTTGAGACATTACGCGTTGAGTGTCGCGCATGCGCTTTGCTGGTGTTCGTGGGGCGCTCACTGAGGTGGGGCGCTCACTGATAAAACAGGTTAGGCCTACTAATAGAATAACGTGTTTCACAAGCGAGCGCCGCACCCAACCGAGCGCCGCACTCTCACTGCCAGAACGCCGGCGCAACAACAGCGCGTAATGTCTCAACCACAACAAGCTCCTACACTCTATACTGAAGCTAATGTACAGCTTGCTATATCTAATATCTTAAGAAACTAAATTTAAAGTATCTAACGCGCTAAGAAAGTCTACAAAGTGCCTAAACAAATAATCTAACGCTAACGCAATAGAACACGCTCTTGACGCGACTGTGAGCTAAATGCAAAGCGCCTTACAAAGCTAGAAGAGGAGGCAGTTGTACTACGTATACTTGAGGAATCTGCGCGTGGCCTACCCTCCTCAAAGGCAGACGTACAAGATATGGCAGATAAACTGCTAAGAGAGCGCGGCGCAAAGCCTGTTGGCAAGAACTGGGTTAACAACTTGGTAAAGCGTACACTAGAGCTCTAGAAGCGGTGGACCCGCCTATACAATCGCCAGCGGGCTGCCTGCAAGGACCCAGCAGTTATCTAGCCCTAGTTCACGCTTGTTTAGTCCATGAAGGCGAAGTATAGTATTATAGACAAGGATGTGTAACGTAGATTATCACCGAGCCGGCCATATCACCGAACCAGCCACTTTCTCTTGGCACAACCACCTTTTACCCCAACACAACATGCCTCAACAACAACAACTTCAGAATACTACTAGAGAAGGCAGAGTTATCCTTGCTATCTAGGCCTTCTACGCTGGCCAATTTCGCAGTATCCACAGCGCTGCTAGAGCGTTGAACGTACCTTATCAGCAGGTCTCTAATTGCCTTTGCAATATCACGTTTTAACTAGATATACGCGCTAATTGCTAGAAACTTACTATACTAGAGGAGCAGACAATTATCTAGTATATACTTAACCTTGATTCGTGAGGATTTGCGCCCTAGCTATGTGAGGTGGCAGATATGGCTGATAAGATACTTAGTGTGCGTGGTGAAGAGCCTATTGGCAAACTATAGGCTAGCAGGCTTGTGACGCGTTTAGACAAGCTTAAAATAGCCTTTAATTAAGCTAAGGATAGACAGAGGATACTATAGGAAGATCCTAAGATAATTAGCGCGTAGTTTAAGCTAGTAGAGGATACTTAAGTTAAGTATAGTGTTTGCAACAATAACATGCACAACTTTAATAAAACTAGGTTCTAGATAGGTGTTGCTTTGTCTTTAAAGGTTGTAACAGGC